CTCTTCAGCTCAAGGCTAGTGCTCTACCACTTGAGCCACAGCGCCACTTCTGGCTTTTTTCTTTTTGCTTAAGTGGTGCTGAAGAATTAGACCCAGGGCCTCACGTATGCAAGGCAAGCGCTCTACCACTGAGCCACCTTCCCAGCCCCTAGAGCACTAATCTTGAGCAAAAAAAAATCTAAGGAATGGTGGGGCGCTGGTGGCTCATGCCTGAATCCTAGCTACTCAGGAGGCTGAGATCTGAGGATCACAGTTCAAAGCCAGGCTGGGAAGGAAAGTCTGTGAGACTCTTATCTCCGTTTAACCACCCAAAAAGCAGAAGTGGTACCTGTAGCTCAAGTGGTAGAGCGCTCATCTTGAGCTGAGGAGCTCAGGGATAGCACCCAGGCCTAGAGTTCAAGCCCCATGACTTGGGGGGGGGGGAGGAGGGAATTAGCTAATGAATGGTGTCCAGGATCCCAGTTCAAGCTCTAGTACTAGTATGCCCACACCCATTCCCCAACATGTGTTTTGGCTTGAGACTATCCTCAAGATATTTCATTGTATACATACAAATATTCCAAAATCCTAAACACTTCTGGTTCCCTAGTATTTTGGCTAAGGGATCCTTGTAGAACAACAGAAACAATTTTATTGTTGCTTCAAGGCTTTGTGCTTACTAGGCAGGTACTCTCCTGCTTGAAGCAACCATTCTGCCTCCTTTTGCTCTGGTTTCATTTGTTTGCATATATTAGCCATCCAAGGGCAAGGTGCTCCGCTCCGGTTATTTTCTGAGATATGATCTGGCTTTTTGTCTCGGCTGGCCTGAACTGTGTTCTATTTATACCTCCTGCTGTAGGTAGGATGACAGGTGCACCCCACCTTGCCCAACCTTTTCTGTTGAGTTGAACGTTTTTGCTTGACCTGCAATCTCTGCCTCCTGAGGAGCATGAGCCTCCAGCATCTGGCTTTTTAAGCCAGGACCTTGCTGTGTCACTCAGGCTGGCAATTCTCCCATGATGGCTCCAGAATGCTGAGATTACACATGTGTACCACCACACCCAGCCAAAAGCACATCATTTAAATGTCAGCCTCCTTGGGTCTTTTACAATAGCTCCAGGTTTCTCATTCTATTGCTCCAGTCCCTCAGGGGAGGTTTTGAGATGGTGGTCATGATACAAGGCCAATTCCACAGTAGTCCCTTTTACCCTTCTGTGTTGTTGCTTCACCACCAACACCCTAACCCATCTATATGGGGATGTGGGTAGGCACTGGGTGAAGTGAGAGTGACGGGGCCCGGCTGGCAGCTCTTATTCTCCCAAAGGGCTATGTTGGGAATCACTATTCATTAGGAGTCGATGAAGCTTACAGAATCCCTCCCTGAAGACATTCAGCCCCCTGTAGAATAACCAAGGCCCTCACCATCACTATACACACAACTGCATTTACAGTTCTGGTTGTTGTTGTTTTTTTGCCAGTCCTGGGGCTTGAACTCTGGGCCTGGGCACTGTCCCTGAGCTTCTTTTGCTCAAGGCTAGCACTCTACCATTTGAGCCACAGCATCACTTCCAGCTTTTTCTTATTATATGGTACTGAGGAATGGAACCAAGGGTTTCATACATGCTGGGCAAGCACTCTACCTCTAAGCCACATTCCCAGCCCTCAGTTCTTGCTTTTGAGATGGGGTCTTGCTGTGTAACTCAGGCTGACTCCTGACTAGAGCTCCTTCTGCTTTTACCTCCCAACTGCTGGAACTGTAGGTGTGCAACACCACATCTAGCTTACTTTATAAGACATTTGATCTCAGACTTCTGGTATCTTACTCTTTGTGTGCCAGTAGTGGGGCTTGAACTCAGAGCCTCACACTCTTGCTTGGCCTTTTCATTTAAGTCAGGAGCTCTACCACTTGAGCCACACTCTAACTTCCTCAGAAAGACATCTGTGTTGTTACAAAGTCATCCTTCTGTGGCTCTGCTGTGTGCACTGACCATGTGAGCAACCTGGTTAGAAAGGAAGGTACCGAGACCTATCAGTATGTGAGTGGATGTTCTGTGGGATACTTACTCTACAGGTGGACGGTGTGGAAGGACTGGTTCTGATGCCATGTTGTTTCTCAGGAGCAACCGGGCCCTCGGGAGAGCTGGTGGGAGAGGACGAGCTCAGGGATGAGTGACTGAGGACAGAGTCTTCTTCAGGGCAGGATTCCAACACATCACTCTCTGAGATTCTGCTCTTATCCAGGGGGGTAGTGGGAGGAGATGTGGATGGAGGAGGTTTCAAAGCCAAGATGTCCTGTAAGATCACCAGGGGCATCTTCCCCTTGAACAGGATGCCCTTGGCCTCACTCCAGCCGTCTGACTCCTGCGGAGGGCATGGTGGCAGATCCTCTGTCAGCTTGGTTGAGCTCTGTAGTAAGACTTCCTGGGAGTTGCCCTTTCCCTCTAGGCCTCCTGGTCTAGCAGGCTCCTTTATTTTACAAGGACTGTCTGAAAGGGGCTTTTCAGGAAACACTGCCTCCTCATGAAGCGCGTTTACCTCTGATGGCCTCTGCTCATCTCTGCCTTCTCTGATCCCATTAACAGCCTCCTTGGGGAAGGAGGCTTCTGGAGGGAGTTTACTGTGATCCATGGCATTGTCTGTCGGGTCATTTGAATCCTCTGTCAGATCGATGATGACCACATTCTGGGCAATGCTGGTTTTGATTCTATTTCTTAAGAAGTTATCTAAAGGACCCTTCCCATTGACCAGTTTGGGTCTGAAGTCTAGGTCAGAAACCACATGACAGTCGCTCTCCAAGTTAACCAAGGAGCGTTCCAGATGGGGGACTTTGCCATCCACAGAAATGCTCTGAGGGTGTCTTAGGTCATCAGGCTCATCCTCGGCTTTCTCCTTGGGCACAAGATTCAGGCGTTTGAATGGCAGGCGGGCTGAATCCAACAGGGAAAAAAAAGACTTTTCAGTGAAAGTGTGAGAGAATAATTGAGTAATAATATTGAGCAATCTGTATGCTGGATATTACCCATTTTGTTGGGCTTTGGGGGAATTTTATTTCCCCCACTCATCCTGGGACTTGAACTCAGGGCTTGAGCCCTTTCCCTAAGCTCTTTTTGCTCAAGGCTAGTGCTCTACCACTTGAGCCACAGTGCCACTTCTCGTTTTCAGATGGTTAATTGGAGATAGGAGTCTCACAGATGGGCTGGGAAGGTGACTCAGTGGTAGAGTGCTTGCCTTGCATGCATGAGGCCCTGGGTTCAATTCCTCAGAACCACATAAACAGAAAAAGCTACAAGTGGAACTGTGGCTCAAGCACTAGAGCGCTAACCTGGAGCTGAAGAGCTGAGAGACAGCACCCAGGCCGGGTTTAAGCCCCATGACTGACCAAAACCAAAGCAAAAAAACCCCAAACAAACAAACAAAAAAATCTCACAGAGTTTCTTGCCCAGGCTGGCTTTGAACCATGATCCTCTGAGTAGCTAGGATTACAAGCATGAGCCACCAGTAACTGGCTGAGGATAAAGGTTTTGCAACTTTGAAATGGAGCCATAGGAGACTGGGGGTGTGCTCAGCAGTATAGTGCTTTCTATGCTTCACCTCTAGTGCCCCTAAATATATTATCCTAATTAAAATTACTACCATCTCCATCTGCAAATATATAAACTACAACTAATACAGATTTGCCTGGCACTGGTGGCCCATATCTGTAATTCTAACTCCTCAAATCTCTAATCAAACTAGCAAAAAACTAGAAGTGGAGCTGTGACTCAAGTGGCAGAGAACCAGCCTTGAGCAAAAAAGATCAGGGACAGTAGCACCCAGGCAGGGTTCAAGCTGTAGTACTAACAGTAAGAAATCTTTGTTGGGGCTGGGAAAGTGGCTCAGTGGTAGAGCGCTTGCCTTGCACGCATGAGGCCCTGGGTTCGATTCCTCAGCACCACATAAGCAAAAAGAAAAACAAGCTGGAAATGGAGCTGTGGCTCAAGTGGTAGAGCGCTAGCTTTGAGCTGAAGAGCTATGGGACAGCGCCCAGGCCCAAAGTTCAGGCCCACGACCGGAACCCCCCCCCAAAAAAAGAAAAAGAAAATCTTTGTTTAGAACAAAATTACCTTCAGGTTAGATAAGGTACATATAAATAAATTTCACATTTAAAGTCAGGTTCTAGCCCTAAGGTACTGTATACACAAATAAATGCTAGCCGGAGCTGGTGGCTCACGCCTATAATCCTAGCTACTCAGGAGGCTGAGATCTGAGGATCGAGGTTCAAAGCCAGCCTGGGCAGGAAAGACCGTGAGACTCCTATCTCCAATAACCACCAGACAACGGGAAGTGGCGCTGTAGCTTAAGTGGTAGAGTGCTCAGCCTTGAGCTGAAGAGCTGAGGGACAGTGCTCAGGCCGAGTTCAAGCCCCATGACTGACAAAAAAAAAAAAAGCTAATTTTTTAAATTGTTCTAGAAGCACTTTGGCTGTCCCCTTCAAGCCCCCCCACCCCCCACCCCAACCCTTAGTTCTACTAAGAACTCCCACAGGAGAAAATGAAGGGCATAAGTTAGGAACAAATGAGAGTTAAGTTACCTTGTATTAACTTCTTAACTGGAAAAGTTGGTCTGTCTTTGCAATCCATGGCTATAAATAAAGATGTGAAAGTTAAGTTACTAAGGGATAGAAATGTTACATAAAGGTCCAACTACCTGCCAGGTGATTCTTAGGTAGGAATGATTTTGCCGCTTTTCCCTGTCCCAAGAAGAATATCTGGCAATGTCTGCTGGTTTGGTTGTCATGATGGCAGAAGGCTCCAGGGACACTACTCATCTCCAGTTGGAAGAAGTAAACAGGTTAGCACCCCACCCCACAAAGAACTATTTGTCTCAAGAATGTTGATAGGTTGACCCCTAAATATAACCATACCTTGATTCATTTTCCTATGGCATTCACTTTGAAATGTTTCTTTTATTATGTGCTTGTGCCCCGGCCCATAAAGCCAGCTCTGTGTCAAGTAGCTCCACACTGTACTTAGAGCTGTAGGCTCAAGTTTTGGAATTCATTAGGAAGCCAATGAGTGATACAGTAAGTAACAAAGACAATAAGTGGAATGAGGAAAGGTGGAGCTTAGAGAAGACATCCAATTACTATTTTCACAAATAATAAGACACCTCAAAACACTCTCCTTCAACTCAATCCCCTCCCATATTACCACCAAATCTACAAAATCAGAAAAGGATTCATTTTGTTTATTTAAAGAAGTGCACGAAAAGCACATAACATCAGCTGTTCTTTAAGCTTCTTGCTGTCAAGATATAGTAAGGGAGAATATCATCCTGCACCATAATATAAAAATCTCAAGAAAAGCATCTAATAATACTAAGGTTGATGCAGAGCTGACCATAAATAGAATCGAATCTTTGGATAAATATTTTTTAGAGTAAATTTAGAAGCTCACACCTGCTAGGCGATCTGTTTTAGAAAAATCTAGGTTGGTTATTTTAAGAGGACTGTGCATATATTTTCTAAAAGCTACATGAAAATCAGACTTGAGCTTCCATTAAAAAAAACAAAAAACTCAGCTGTCTGTTGCTGAAATTACCCACTCTCCCTCAGCTCCAAGCTTGGAAAGTAAGAAAAGAATCTTGGTTCACATTTCCTTTCTACTCTTTTCATGAAAGGAAGATGTTTAATTTCCAAGTTTTCAGTCATAAAAAAATAAGGATTCCCTCCACCCCACCCCCCAAATCATCATTTACTCTGTAGGCTTTAGCCATTTAAAAACATCTTCAGAGATTGGGAGGAGGAAATGTGGGGGAAAAATGAGGGAAGGGGTAACAATATTTGACAAGAAATGTACTCACTACTTTATTTATGTAACTGTAACCCCTCTGCACATCACCTTGACAATAAAATTTAAAAAAAAGTAATAAAACTCAAGTTCAGAACAACCAACAAGAACGTATTTGCATGGTTCTAGGTGTTCATACAAGGGAAACAGGTAAGACCTGAGACCATAAGTGGAGCTCCAGATCTGATATAAATAAGGAACTCCTTGAAGTAAAAAGTATATATGTACACACACACACATATATATATATACACACACATACGCACATATATACATATACATATGTGTGTATGTGTGTGTAGCTAGGTGCATACGACACTGGTAGGAATAGAATTATCAAGTGTTCTTCATTCTGAGATCACACCCTTCCCAACGGGAACACTAAAACCTCTTTTTTATGACTGGATGGTCAGAGCGAGTGGTGATTGCCTTTCCTAATTTTTAATTCCACATCTTGTATCCCAGCTCCATGAAAGCACTTCTTCCCGATTTATTTCTATTAATTATATATTAATATGTATATATTAAGTATTGGTTCTCAAAGGGGGAGGGCCAGGTAGCCCCCAGCCACCTCCAGGGACACTTGGCCACCCACATCTGGGGGACATTTTGGTCTATTGCAACTGTAGAGGATGGGGTTGCTACTGGCATGGAGAGAGGGTGGTGGTCAGGGATGCAGCTCAGCACCCGAAAGGGCCAAATCCAAGCGCAAATGTCAGTAGTGCTGAGATTGAGGAAGCCTGGATACTTCGAGGTCACTTCCATCCACTCAACCAGCACATATGATTAGGTAGGTACCAAAAAATGGGCCAAGCTCGGGAAGTGGGGGAGGAAGGGGACGGGGACGGGGCGGACAATACGGAGTCGAAGATGGGGAACGGTCTGGATTTCTTTAGTCCGCCACCTCACATTCTAGGGGTGCTAGAAAGACTCCCCTCTCCTGCAAGATGCAGAGAGGAGAAAGACACCATGTGTATCAGACGGGAACAAGAATACGGAGTCCTAGCTCCCTGGCCAGTTACCCCCAAAACTCTCATTTGGCCTTGTCCTGACCCCTAAGACCAGGAGACCTCGGGCTTCACAGTTTCCGCTCCTGCTGCAAGGTCCAAGATTCTCTGGGGACACAAATAACATTCTGTAACCTTCCGGGGACTCAGTTTCCCTTCTCGGCCCCACCAATCCGTCAACCACCAGAAAGCTCCGGAAAAAACGAAGGGACGCAAATGTGCAGGAATTAAAAAAAAAAGGAAATACGTATATATATATGCATACATTTGGGTGTAAGTGGTCGCGGCTACAACAATGACGCCAGGGAGGGGGCCCTGCGGGCCGCGCGGAGCCTCTGGCTCCGGGCATCGAACGCCCGGCACGGAACAGCAGGCCCGGAGACTCGATCAACCCCAACCGCCACCCCGGGTCCGCACAGGCCGCGCCGCCCCTTCCCCTTCAGTCCTGACCGGAACCGACCTGTGGCCGCTGTCCCGGGGCCCGGCGCCCCGCACTCCGGCTCTTCCAGCATCGTTGCGGCGGGGGTTCGAGCACTCCTCAAGCGGCGGAGGCGCGGGCTCCACTGTGGCGGCCGCTGCTGCTCGCCCTCCCGCC